CTCCCTCCCTCCCTCCCTCCCTCCCTCCCTCCCTCCCTCCCTCCCTCCCTCCCTCCCTCCCTCCCTCCCTCCCTCTCTCTCTCGCTCTCTCTCTCTCTCGCTCTCTCTCTCTCTCTCTCTCTCTCTCTCTCTCTCTCTCTCTCTCTCTCTCTCTCTCTCTCTCTCTCTCACGCCCACATGCCAGCGAGCCTTTCAGCTTCCGCACGCCCACGCACCCCCAAAACACCCCCCGTCCCATGGGCCGTAGAGTACCTCGTCAGCCAGAGAGGGGTCAACGACAGCGCCAAAGATGAGGTTGGCGCGCGGGTCCACCAGCTGGTAGATCTGCTCCGCTGCCTCGTTCACCTGCCCCGGGAGGAGAGAGTGGGTGGGAGGGTGGGGGCGTGGGCGAGTGGACGGGTGGACGGGTGGGTGTGTGGAAGGGTGGTTGGATAGGTGAGTGGAAGGGCGTACTGATACGCGCGGGTTCACCACCTGGTAGATCTGCTCCGCTGCATCGTTCACTTGCCTGCCCCCGGGAGGAGAGAGTGGGTGGGAGGTTGGGAGCGAGCGGGGATGGTGGCGTGGCCGAGTGGACGGGTGGACGGGTGGGGGGGTGGGTGGGTGGAGGGTTGGATGGAAGGAAGGATGAGTGGAAGGAAGGGCGGATGGATGGAAGGGCGTATGGAGAAGCTTTTGCACGCAGTGGGGTCTGATGTGTGATGGAGGGGAGGGGGAAGGTGATCACACATGGTCACACCAACTGGCCTCCGCTTTTCATGCGCGATGCATGCCACTGGATTGCACCGGCCGGCATGGCTGTCTCGACAAGGGTCATGCAGCATGCACGGGCTTGCTTACCAGTGGGCACACGCAGCACATCACACCCCAGTGACCCACATCCGTCCCGCTTCCTCCCTCACCCCCCTTAGCATCATCCCAGAGGGCCCCGTGATGCTCCCTTGAATGCCCATCGCGTTGCCTTCGGAGACGTCTCACCAGCCATCCCGGTGACCTACACCCATGCTGCCTCTTTTCCCTCGCTCACCTCGCTGAGCGTCATGCTGGGCGGGCCAGTGATGTTCCACACGATGCCCGTGGCGTTGCCTATGCCCGTGTCCAGCAGCGGCGACTGTATCGCCTGCTGCGCCGCCTCCCGAGCCCGGTGCTTGCCTGCTCTCGCATATACACCCGGAGGGGGGGTGAAGCGGGGGGAGTGGGCAGAAAGGGTGACGTGGGAGAGAGGAGAGTTGGAAGGAAGTGCTTGGGCGGGATGGTGCGCATGGGGAGGGGACAGGCTGCGGAGGGAGAGGAGGAAAGGAGGGGATGGGACGGAATGAGTCTGACAGGTCTCGGACACGAGGGGAGATGGGAGGGAACGCAAGATGGGTAGGAGTTTGTGAGCAGCCGATGCAAGAACGAGAGGTATGAAAAGTTCACTGCTGCTGCTTCCTTTCCAGTCATTGTGAACATTTTTATCCAGAAACATGTATGGCTACGTGCCTGGTGTGCTTGGTTCCAGCCCCTAACCTCTGCATTCCCAGCCTCAGAATCCCTGTTCCCCTCACGGCCTGCCCGTTCAACCTACAACTCCTTGCTTACCCGTCCCGACCCCATAGGCCGCTTAAAGCCCAAGCTGATAACCCATGACCCACCTGAGGCGACCCCAATGCCCATGAGCGAGGAGCCCGCATTAGCCATGATCGCCCTCACATCCGCAAAGTCCACATTCACCAGCCCCGGCACCTGACAAAGGGAGGGGAGTCGGGGGGGCGGCGTAGGGGAGAGACAAGCACAAGCACGGTGAGCCTGACAATTCATCCGCATTCAACAGTCCCGCCACGTGGGGAGGAAGAACAATGGGGGTCTATCCACAACTAAACCCCATTATCACCCGTCCAAACACTTGGATGAGAGAGTAGAGGGAGGGGAGGAAAGGGGGGGAGAGGGGGTGAGCGAGAGACACGGAGTGGCGAGGCTGTCACGGGTGGTTGGGACAATAGAGCACGGGCATTACTGGCAGAAGGGGCACGACCACCAGGTGAAGACAGATAAGTGAAGGGGGAAATGGGTGAATCAGGAAAGGGTATGGGAGAGAGGGGAGAGGGGAGAAGCAGTGGGAGTATGGAGAATCGCGTGGCTTTTCTTACATACACTTCATGAGTGCGAAACCCACCACTCATGACTGCTCATTCCCTTTTTCTCCATCTCCTCCGCACCTTTCAAACCCCTCCCCACCCCACTGCCCCTTCACAAACCTCCCTCCCTCCTCCCAGCAATGCCCCAATCAAACAACACCCTCCACTCGCGCCAAACCAACCCGTCGCACCCCATCACACCGCACCGCACCGCCCCCACACCGCACCACACCGCACTGCACGGACCTGGACGATGTCGGAGATGCCGCGCACGCCCTGGCGCAGCACGTCGTCCGCCATCACGAACGCCTCGTTCACGGGCGTGCTGGCGTCCACGGCGCTCAGCAGCTTGTCGTTCGGGATCACGATCAGCGTGTCCACCGCGCCGCGCAGCTCCTCCAGCGCGCGCACCGCCTGCGCCGCGCGCCGCTGCCCCTCGAACGAGAACGGGAGAGTCACGATGCCGACTGTGAGGATCCCGAGGCTCCGCGCGACCTCCGCCACCACCGGCGCTGCGCCGCTGCCTGTTCCGCCGCCCATCCCCGCCTGCGGGACGGTGGGGGGCGGAGGGGGGGAAATGGGAAGGGGTTGGCGGGAAGGGAGAGAGGGGGGTAGAGGATATATATTGGTTGCCCGGTGGAGGATGATAAGGGAGAGAGGGGAAATTGAGAGCCGTGGGGATGGCTCAATAGCAAGGGAGGATGGGAGGGAGGGAGAGGCAGCGAGAATGACGGGGGCCATGGCCCCATGGAAAGAGAGGGGCGGGGAGGTGGGTGTAGGATGGGCGTTACCGAGCCCATGTGCGAATTGCTATGATACTTCGCATGCTCGCCGTTTCTTTGTGCAAAAATACAGAAATACACATGCGTTCCTTGCTATCATAACACTGTTAATCACTCTCCCGTACAACAACAAGTCCTTCTCCTCTTCCTTCAGTACACTCGCTGATCCCTACTCGTCATTTGTTCACTTCGCTTGTTCGTCGTTGTGTCCTCTCGTTCCAGCTCCAGCAGCGAGTAATCCCCCGTCAAACACTTCACAAATACTCGTCAGTCTACCACTCCCAGTGTCTCTCCCACCGCCACGCCAACGCACCCCGCAGCCCACGCAAGTCAACCTCTCCAAAAAACAAAAGCAAATTGGACCACATCACCCCGTCCTCTCGTCCTTTCATCGCCTGCCTCTCACCGTAACGAACACCATATCCGCGCCAGCGAGCGAGGCCTGCAGCATCAGCCGGCTCTCCTCCGCCGCGTGCTGCCCGATCATCGGGTTGCCGCCCGCGCCCAGCCCGCGCGTCAACTCCACGCCGATCTGCAGCCGGTTTCCCCGCCCCACCGGCGACAGTTCTAGCGCCTGGCCGTCAGTGTTGACGACAAACGGCTCGACACCGCGCATTCCCATCTGAGCTCCGCGGAAATTTGGAGAGGGGAGTGGTAGAGGGGGTGTTAGACAGTAAAAAGACGGAACGACGGGCGCAAGAAGGAGCAGATGAAGTTTGAAGTCCGGGTTGGCGGATTCGCTTGTAAGTTGCTTGCTCCTGTGTACGCCCTTGTTACTGAACGCTGAGCAGCCATTCTTACCTGAATCATTCGATTGACCGCGTTCGACCCGCCACCACCGACGCCAATCACTTTTATCGACGCGCCTGTGAAGCTATCCGCCATATTAACCACCGCGCCTCCCGCTTGCGTGTTCCATTCCGAGTGGTTGTTCACAACAGCGGCGTCGCCATTGTCGACAGTATCTACATATTCTTGCGTTCCGCCAGTGGGCCGTGGCGGCCGACCGTTCATCCTCGCCGAATCTTCATATGAAGGCGCGAGAGACGCGCACACTGGCGCGCGCGAAGAGACACCTACGGGGAGAACTTCGGAAACGCCTGCAGTCTTTTTCCTGGTTAGCAGAGGCCTTTTGCCGAGCGAGCGCTCGGGGAAGTTAGGGATTCGAGGTCGCGCGAGTCCGCGGGCTGCGGAGAGGCGGTCAGTTTGAGCGCACAGCGGCGGCTGGGGGATTGACGAGGCGACAGCTTCTACTGACGCGAACGGCGTGCGATGCTCAGCCTGCGATGAGATAAGGAATGCTTGGGTTTGTGAGCTCGCGACTGTGGGCGCTAGGGACGCCATGGTTACGGCTTCGGAGGGAACGTTGTAGATCTATACACTATGCTGGTAATGTGCTCCACAGCATTAAACTACAGGCGGTGAACACGAACACTAGTTACAAAGCACGGCTGGCTGTGAGCTGAGGTGCAAATTCAGTCAAAAATAGAGCTTGAGGAGGGTTGCTTTTCACCTAGCAGCTGGGTTGAGGTGAGGCATCCAGCATCCAGCCCAAAGCAAGTTCCTCCAACGATGTTGTCGCGCTTCGCTACACCCAACCACCTTTCCTACTGACCGCGAAAGGTGTGTTTGAGCGCGAGCGATCTTGGCAGTGCCAGCTGTGTGGTGAGTTTGTGACTACAAGGGGTTGAAGATTTGAAAGAGAAACTTTTGGCGGGAAGCTAGGGACAGAGCAAGGTAGAGTTGTTCAGTGGATGAATTAGGCGGGATTTTGTGGGACCAGCCACATGGCTAGGTATACTCTGATTGGACGCTACTGGTGATTCAGAGTCAGCGGTGATTACGGAAAGATTCCACCACCACATGTACACCATTCTGTTGGTGGAAGTACACTAAGCAGGAAACAGTGTTGAATTTTCTTTATCCAATAACATCAGCATACACAATAATTTATTCCATCGACCCCTCCCCCCCCTCCTTTATTCGCCACCCCTTCCACCGAACCTCACTCCTTCCAAGACACAACAGCTCCTCCTCATCCCTTCCTACAACCTTCCTCCAATTTTTTTCTGCATGCCTCCACCATCCATCGTCTGTCATGTCACTTGGTGCACTTCTGCTTATCACCAGACACCTTCCACCCATTGGCGCAAAGGCATCCAGGATCAATAGTACTCCCGCTGGTCTCCACAACCTTATCCGACGGGTAGCAGATGCCAATGCGGATGCCACCGCACTGCACGTTCCCAGAAGTGCCGCAGAACTTGTTGCACGCAGCAGGAGTCCTCTGCGATGACTTGGTGCAGCAATCGTCAGGCTGGGAATCGTCCTCTGAGGAGGGAATGGTCAGGCAGTTCTTGGCCAGAGATGCCGCGCAAATGGTCTTCCCGTCCTTGTCTTTGGGCAGGGAAGAACCAAAGAAGTAGTTGTCATCGAGGTTGACCGTGGTAGGGGCCTTGTAGAAGCTGGGAGGAGGCCCGGTGAAGTAGTTGGCACTCAGGTCCCTGTGGTGTGTAGGTGGGAGCAGGAGAAGAGGCAATGCGTCAGAGTCAGATGACGGAACGTTTGAAGCGGATTAGTGAGGGAAGGAGCAAAGGCGGGTTGGGTGAAGGTGTGAGAGATGGACACCTCAGGGCGGAGGGGACGCAGAAAGGGAATGGGTAGTGAATGAATGAAGGACAGAGAGGTGTACGTACACTTCAGTGAGATTCTTGAGGGATGAGAACGAGGGCACGTAGCCATCAAGATAGTTGTCCTGGAGAAGGCTGTTGGGACAGAACATGAGCATGTGGGAAGGAGGGGGTCGATAATGTGTGTGTGTGTGTGTGTGTGTGTGTGTGTGTGTGTGTGTGTGTGTGTGTGTGTGTGTGTGTGTGTGTGTGTGTGTGTGTGTGTGTGTGTGTGCATGTGAGCGAAGGAGGAGCGAGGAATGAGGTGGAGCGTGAGGGAGGCAGCACATGGGGGCAGGGAGCAGAGTACGGAAAGAGGATGCAGGTGAGGAAAGTGAGTTAGAAAAAGCCAATGACAGAAACGGGGCTAGTGAGGAGGGAAAGGCACAGCCACGGAGGGAACGAACGAACAAGCAGATAAAATTCAGCAACAGACAGGGGAAGGGAGTTGAAGGGCAGTGAGGAGAAGCAAGGTTAAGCAGGGAGGGAGGGGAGCGCACAGGTTGCTGAGCTTGGTAAGCGCGGTGATGGTGCGGGGGATCAGGCCCTTGAAGTTGTTGCTGTTCAGCGAGCTGCCAGGGGTTTTCACGCAGAGGCGAGACACGGGAGAGGGGTTGGGGGCGGGATGTACTGACAGGCGCGCAGGAGGAAAACAGCACGGATAGGAGAGAGTGAGAAAACGCACTAATGGAGTGGGAATGGGAAGGGGAGAAGTGGAAGGTGGGCGTGAGTAGGCGAGCACCGGGAGGGTGCAGCGTACGTACAGGTACGTGAGCTTGGTGAGAGTGCTGATGACGTTGGGAATGCGACCCTCAAAGCCGTTGTAACGCATGCTCCTGACCAGCATGGCACGTATAGGACACGTGGGCAATTAGGACACGTGGAAGAAGCGCACGTTGAAGAAGCGCACACTCAGGATGACTCGGGATGCTTTGGAGTGGTGCAGAAGGGAAGGGGAAGAAGTAGGTGAAGAGATGGTGACACGCACAGTGAAAATGCTGGCAGATAGGGACAAGTGAGGCTGACAGGTAGTTGAGGCTCACAGGTAGTTGAGGCTCTTGAGATTGGAGAAGCCCTGAGGGAAGGAGCCGTTGAAGTTGTTGTCTCCCAACAGCCTGGCAGTTAGGGGGCACAGCAGCATGGGATCAGTCAGGGGGGCGTGCATGCCGGGGATCAGTTGGTGGAGTTGCAGTGGGAACACAATGCGTGAGAGATGGTTGCGTACTGGGAGGGATACAGAGATCAAGGATGAGATCAGCCAAATCAATTTCAGCAGCAGCAGCAGCAGCGCAGCAGCAGGGGCGGTGAGCACGCACAGGCGGTTGAGTTTGGTGAGGGATGTGAGCACGCTGACAGGGCCGCTCAGGCCGCTGCGATGCAGGTAGCTGCAATGACAAGGGGGAGGTGGGGAGAGGGTGGAAACCAGGGCAGGGGTGAGAAAGGAAAGTGGTCAAAACTTGTCCCTTCCTCACCTCCTCCCCCTTCCCTCTCCCTCTCAACTCCCTTCCTGACACTCAATCCATCTCTTCCCACCGCTGACACACTTAATCCTTCCACCCTCTTCTGTTCCCTCCTCGACCTCTCTACACTCCCTGCACTCCTCATTCCCCCAATTCCCCCCCATCCCCCCACTACTCCCCCCGGACCCAGAGCGCTCACAGCTCGTTGAGGCGGGTGAGCTTCCCCAGGCCGGAGGGCAGGGTCCCCTTGAGCCCATCCTCCCCCGAGGCTGCCAGCCCACTGCACGCACCACAGGGAGTTGAGGGGTGGGGGACGGGGGAGCAGGAGGAGAGAGCAGGAGGGGAAAAGGTGATGATCGTGAGGAAAGAGCTTGAGGAAAGTGCCTACGATCTGGTCGGCGTCTTAGAAGGATTTTTTTTATTAATGCGTGCGCATGGTACCGGGGAGCTCTCTGGTGGGTAGCAAGCGTGGTCGATTACATGTGCCGCTCGATAGGTCAGCAGCACATTCAGTCAGATTCGGATATCACTGTCACAAGTCCCTTCGCGAAAGCGCGTGAGTGAGAGTCACAGTGAGTGAGCGACTCACAGGTACACGAGCTTCTGCAGAGTACTGATGAAGTCGGGGATGGAGCCTGTCAGGGAGTTGGAGCTCATGTCGCTGGTGGTGGTGTGTGGCGTTGGGGGGCAGGGAGGTGGGCACGGTGGGCGCGAAGGTGGGCGGGGAGGGTGATAGATGAAGGGTTGAGGGGGGGAGGGAGGAGGGGGAAGAGTGAAGAAATTACATGGTGCAAAGAGCGCAGCACGAAGCAGCATGCGGGAGAGAGGGATAGCAGGCGTTCCAGAATGAAGGCAGGAATTGCGGCGGACTCGAAAGGAGTGGTGAAGAAAGGTAGGGAGTGGTGCGTCAGTGGGGGCGGCACTTGGTGACAGAAGGAGCAACGAGGGGCCAGGTGACATGCGGAGGGAGGGGGGATGGAAGATGGCTGGAAAAAATGTCATGACTGGAGGATCAACGAGGGGGCACGTGACATGAGCAGGAAGGGGGGATTGTAGTTGGCTGTGCAGAGCAGGTGAGCATGGGCGTACAGGTGAGTGAGGTCTGTGAGCTTGGAGACGAAGGTGGAGATGGAGCCCTCATAGCCTGTGTCGGCGATGTCCCTAACGAGGATGAGCAATGGCAGGGAGTGGGCGGGTGACAGGGTAGGGAGGAGGAGATGCATTGAGGTTGAGTTGGATGTACATCCCGAATGCAGGGGAGGAGCAATGAAGCACAGGAGGTGTGTCAAGGGAAATGGAGGAGAGTACATGGAGGGAAAGAAAGAAGAAGAAGAAATAAAAAGCGAGCAAACAACTGATCGAAAGCGGAAGGCGCGGGTATGAGATGAAGGGGCTGAGAAGCGTGGAGAGGCGTCGAAGGGCGATGGGTGGGAGGGAGGGAAGAGACGGCGGGTGACTGACAGGTGTTTGAGCTGCTTGAGGTTGGTGAGTGACGAGAACCCCGTGTTCAGGTTGCTGTTGCCCGACACGTCTCTGCATTGAGTGTTGGGGAGGGGATGGGAGGGGAGAGGGAATGGAAGGTGGGTTGGCGCGATAAGTGGAAGAGCAGTGGGTGGATGCTTGGGTTGGAAACGGAACGAGCAAGGAACAGAAATGAGTATCTGGCAAGGAGGGGCGAGGCTGTGGGAGGGTGCGAGAGTGCGCTGGTAAATACAGCAGTGCAGAGAGCAGCGAAGGGCGGAGTGTCAGGAAGGGGCGGTGCTCACATGTAGGAGAGGGCGGTGATTTTGGAGAGAGACGCGGCGGACCCAGTGATGTTGTTGCCAGAGAGATCACTGCAATGGTCCGTGGACCATTGGGGTGTGTCACGGGGATCAACCGACAAGCAACCAGCGATCAATGAACGCACGACGAACGTGTCAGTAAACAGGAGGCCGGGTGGCTAAGAAGAGAGAGGGGACAATTGCGTGCCATGACTCGAGGCGTGTTTGGCTGCCGTTCGTCTAGTGAAGCAAGGCAGGATCCTGAGGTGAAAGCAGTGGACGGGAAAGGTGGCGTCGCACGTTGCACATCACACTTCGCAAGTCGCACGTCGCACGTACAGGTACTTGAGGCTCTGCAGCTTCGTCAGTACGCCGATGGCTCCCGACGCGCCGGCGTCCGGGATCGTCCTGCGAACAGACACGAAGAATGGCCGATTCGGCCACGGGAGGGGAGGCGTCAGCTGAGATGGTTTATTAAGCGCTACGCATGGCAGCTTGGCGAAAGCAACGCGATGGCAATGTGACGAGCTTCTCACGTCAGCGTCCAGACGGCGTGACAATGGATCTCTGAGTTTCCTGAGAAGTAGCGCATTACAAAACGAAAATGAGCAACGCGGCCACCGCGTCCGCACGTCGGCGCTCGAGCGTCGGCTCACATGTTGATGACATGGCCGTTGTCGGCGCACTCGATGCCCACGTAGTGGTCGCACTTCTTGTCCGCGTCCTTCCACGTGTCAGATCCCGTGAAGTCACTCCACGCGCTCACCAAGTCCTCCAGAACCATCTCTGCGGGATAATTGGCGGACGTTGTGGGGGACGCAGGGTGGAAGAGGGGAGAGAAGAAGAACAAAAAATCTGACGATGAAATAATACAACACAAAGGAACGATTGCACACGTCGCGTTGCAAAAGGCGTGTTGGGCGTAGATGAGCAAATATTTCCGCGTAACTGCGCGGTTTTGGCAATGCGGTTAGGCGTGAGGTGGTGATTATTACGGTCGTCGCTGTTAATCTTGGTTGCCAGGGTGGCGAGCGGTAGGCGCAGAGACTCCACGTGGAGGCAGATGTTGCTGGTGAGGCACGCAGCGAAGATAGCAGCTAGCAGAAGACGATTCGCACGCGAAAACGACGCCATTGTCGAGAGTTCGTGAAGCAGCGTGTATGACGAGCTGCAGAAACTAAATTTGCCACAATTAGTGCTGTGAGCTTCAGGGAATCGCCCCTGAGGCTCTCAGAAGCGAGAAGGACAAATGAATATGTCGACGATGGTTACGAATTGGAAAGGCGACTGGATGTGTACAACTCGGCGAAAGCTTTCGCTTTGTACATTTGATTGTCGCCGAGCCGCCTTCCCAAACCAGCCATGCCAAGTCGCGTGATTCGGCGGCGCGCAGACGAGCCTCGATGTCGAACAAGGCAAGCCGACCTCACCCAAGCTGCCGGCGCTCGAGAGCTTGATGCGCTGCCAGAGGGAGTGGGCTTGCCAAACCTGCCACGCACAACTATTTCGGCGGTACCTCCGGAAAATGGTGAAGCTGACTAGTGCGCGGCACCAGCCGCTCATTTGGCAGGGCTCTCCAGTTGGTTTTGGGGGACCGAGATGTCAACGAGGTTCACCCTGCCACTGTAGTGTGCCAGGCATGGCATAGTCAATAAATTACTTTTCCCCATAAGTATTGGAGCATTATTGGGATGTGCTAGATGATCGAGCAGGGACGAAGCAGTAATTCACGTCATAAGTTACTAGCTAAAAATGGGTGTGTTTCAAGCTGGGTGACCGGGAGTTGGTGGTAGATGCGATAAATGATGGAGGCCGAAACTCGCCCTGAAAACCGCGTTGAAATGGATATTCCGCCTTGAAATCTAGAGCAATTTGGGACGAATTGGACGAGATACGAGATAGAATTTGGTGACTCGCTCAATATGTCAGCATGGGTTCGAAGGCAGACGCTCCCCCGGTTTGTTAGGGTATCTTACCCCAGAGTCAGGTTGACACCTGTAGGGCTCAGCGCTGGTTTCAAGCTCATCAGCACCTAGTCGATACCTCGTTTTGCAAATTCCGGTGGATTTTAGGAATGAGTTGCAAGGAGAGTCACTTCAACAAATGTTGTGCTTTCAGAGAGTTAACTTGTGAAATGTTCAAACTTCCAACTGCTAGGGGTTCAAAAGGGGGGAGAACAGGCCTGACTGCATGTTGCAAGTGGCGGCGGCGAGCCACTGGATCAGAGTGGAAAATTTTGTAGGTTTAAATACATATGGAACTTTGTTATAGAGATCTCTTACCTATAGTAATGTATCATGTGTCAATCTTTAACTGAGGGGAAAAAAACACCCGCAATCCATTACAACAAGAAATCCTGTGGTCATTACAGGTAACATTTGTCAAAATGTTAAACTGCTTACGGTATATTGTGTAGGCTGTAGTGGGGTAGCCCATAAGGGGTACAACCCAATTAGGGTTAGTACTTGTACAAACTTTCTGTTCAATGCATTCACTCTCGTTCAGTATTCTAACATGGTTTCAGAGCAGGTCCTGTTCCAGGACCGGTTTTCTTAGGGCCCACCACATCGCGCTGCCCCACTAGTCGCGTCGCCCTGCCCTGCCTCTCGCGTCGCCCTGCTGGCCGTCGTGTCGCCCTGCCCTGCCCGCGCGCCGCACTGCTGGCAGCAGCGCTGCCCTGCCATGCCTGCGCGTCGCCCTGCCCTGCCCGCGCGCCGCCCTGCTGGCCGCCGCCCTGCTGCCCACACAGCCTTGCTGCGCGCCGCCCTGCTGGCCGGCGCCCTGCTGCCAGCGCGCCGCCCTGCTGGCAGCCGCACCGCTGCCCGAACCGCCCAGCCCGTGCCGCCCTGCTGCTGCCCGCCCTGCTGCGCGCCGCCCCGCAGGCCGACGCCCTGCTGCCCGCGCGCCGCCCTGCTGGCAGCCGCACCGCCCTGCCCTGCCCACGCGCCGCCCTGCTGGCCGCCGCCCTGCCCTGCCATTGCACTGCCATGCCCTTGCCGTGCGCCGCTCTTCCCTAGCCGTGCGCCGCCTCTCCCTGCCCTGCGCGCTTCCCTAGTGCTCGTGCGCTGCCCTATCTGCGTGCTGCCCTGCTGGTCGCGTGCCACCCTGCTCTGCCCGCTATGGCTTCTCTCAGTGTTCTCACCTTCGATCATGAGGGCCGTCCGATCCAGTTCGATACGTAGCTCGACGACTTACAGTTGTACCTACTGAGCAATTCTAGAGACAGCGTTTCATTGTTTGACCACACGTATGGAGCCTATCTCGCCCCTCCCGCCACAGCTGACAGTGTGACTCGCTCACAGTGGCTTACCCGTGACGTTGCTGCTCGCTTAGCCGTTCGCAACCACCTGCCGTTAGCCGAACGCGCTCACTTTGGCCAGCACAAGACTGCTAAAGCCCTGTACGACGCTGTAGTCGCTCGTTACTCTTCCCCTGCCACTGCTGCTCTCGGTCGCCTTATACTGCCCTACCTTTTTCCCGAGCTGTCAGCCTTTGCCACAGTCGAGGACCTCATTATCCACCTTCGCACTAGCAACACTCGCTACCGCGCTGCCCTCCCAGCCGAGCTCCTAGACAGGAACCCGCCCCCGATGTACATCACTCTCTACTTCATAGACACCCGCCTCCCTGACTCTCTTCGCGCTGTCAGGGACCACTTTCTCGCACTTGACCCCACAGACCTTACTCTCGACCTGCTGAAGAAGCACCTCCTTGTAGCTGAGAGTAGCGTAGTCACTGTAGGTGCTGCTCGTGGCACTCCTCGCACACCCTTCTTTGAGGGGTGTTCCCCCTCCCCCCTTGCCCCCTCTTACGCTTCTGCTGCTGCTGTTGACATCTTTGGTACTAAGGATGTCGGGGCTGCTTCTGCTCTTAGTGGGATGCGCCGCAACGGCAAGGGCAACGGTGGCAAGAGTGGTGGCGGTGGCAGCGGGGGTGGTGGTGGTGGAGGAGGTAAAGGTGGTGGAGGTGGTGGCAGCAGTGGGAGTCGTGGCGGGAGTGGGGGCTTCGGTGGAGTCGGTGGTGGCAGCGGTGGGGGTGGCGGTGGTGGCGGCAGTGGGAGTGGTGGCGGCGGCAGTGGTGGCGATCTGGGTGGAGCTGTTCAGAGGGGAGGTTCTGGCGGTGGCCAGAGGCAGCACCAGCAGCGTCGGTGTGAAACCCCTAGGCCCCAGCACCTTTGTGAGTGGTTTGCTCAGAGTGGGGCGTCTGGGGGTAGTGTTCGCTGCCCGTATGTCATTCGCACAGGTGACCGCGCTGTTAAAATGTTATATAGCTTGCTTTGAGTAGGCTATAGTGGGGTAGCCCATAAGGGGTACAACCCAATTAGGGTTAGTACTTGTACCCAACTTCTTCTCAATGCATTCATTCTTCTTCGTTATTCTGACATGGTATCAGAGCAAAGGTCTTGGGTTCGAATCCCAGTGTGTGCACTTCGGGCATCCCAGTGCGGGGGGGTGTCAGAGGGTGTTGCGCTACTTTTGCAGTACATCGGGCATGGGGCTCGTGCTTGGAGGACGGGGCACAGTTGTCCTCACTGGACACGCAGACTCTTCTTGGGTTGACGATTTGGCTACGCAGCGGTCGTCACACGGTTACACTTTTAGCCTTGGCTCCGGCTCTGTTTCTTGGCGGTCTACCCGCTCGTCTTCTGTTCTCATTTCCAGCTGTGAGGCTGAGATCTACGCAGGGGCCATGGCTGCACAAGAGTTACGCTGGCTCACCTACCTGTTGACTGACGTGGGAGAGAGGCCTCGTTCTTCTCCAGTTATGTACGTAGACAACAAGGCCATGATTGCCTTATGTCAGGAGCACAGAACGAAGCACATCGCTCTGCGTTTTCTCCTTGCTCGAGAGTTGCAGCAGCGTGGTCAGCTTCGTCTTGCTTATGTGGCCACTTGGGCCAACACTGCTGATATATTCACCAAGGCACTTCAGTCTGGTGATCATCAGCGTTTTTGTACTGTTTTAGGCCTTGTGCCTACTTTGCCTCACTTGCTCACTGCGTGACTTTTGTCAGAATGTTATATTGCTTACTTTGTGTAGGCTTTAGTGGGGTAGCCCATAAGGGGTACAACCCAATTAGGGTTAGTTCTTGTACCCAGCTTCTGTTCAATGCATTCATTCTCGTTCATTCTTCTGACATAGTTTCAGAGTAGGTCCTTCGCTAGGACCGCTTTTTTATTTAGGGCCCACCACAGAGTGTCAAACTTATATTGCATAGTCTGTTTAGGCTGTAGTGGGGTAGTTCTTACAGGGTGCAACACTTTTAGGTTCCCCATATGTACCCACCTGCTTTCTAGTTCCACCATTCATTCGCTCACATTCTAACATGGTATTCTGAGCAGGTTCCCTATTGGGAACGTTTTTTAAGGGCCCACCACTAGATTATTTTTTCCTGCCCTGCCCGAAGCGCTCATCGTGCCTTCCCTGTCGCGGCCCCTAGCCAGTCGCGGCCCCTAGCCCGTCACGGCCCCTAGCCCGTCGCGGCCTCTAGCCCGTCGCGGCCCCTAGCCCGTCGCGACCCCCAACAACTGACGCGCCCATGCTGACGCGCCCCTGCCGGCCCCTGCTGACGCGCCCCTTCTGGCGCGCCCCTGCCGGCCCCTGCTGACGCGCCCCTGCCGGCCCCTACAGACGCGCCCCTGCTGGCGCGCCCCTGCCGGCCCCTGCTGACGCGCCCCTGCTGACGCGCCCCTGCCGGCCCCTGCTGACGCGCCCCTACTGGCGCGCCCCTGCCGGCCCCTGCTGACGCGCCCCTGCCCGCCCCTGCTGGCGCGCCCCTGCCGGCCCCTGCTGACGCGCCCCTGCCGGCCCCTGCTGACGCGCCTCTGCCGGCCCCTGCTGGCGCGCCCCTGCCGGCCCCTGCTGACGCGCCCCTGCCGGCCCCTGCTGGCGCGCCCCTGCCGGCCCCTTGCTGACGCGCCCCTGTCGGCCCCTGCTGACGCGCTCCTACTAGCGCGCCCCTGCTGGCCCCTGCTGACGCGCCCCTGCCGGCCCCTGCTGGCGCGGCCCCTGCTGGCGCGCCCCCCTACTGGCGCGGCCCCTGCAGTCGCGCCCCCCCCCTGCCGACGCCACCCCTGCTGGCGCGGCCCCTTCTGGCGCGGCCCCTGCTGTCACGGCCCGCCCCTGCACCCGTC